GTTTGTGTTTGTGTTTGTGTTTGTGTTTTTGTGTTTGTGTTTTTGTGTTTGTGTTTTTGTTTGTGTTTTTGTGTTTTTGTGTTTGTGTTTTTGTGTTTGTGTTTTTGTGTTTTTGTGTTTTTGTGTTTTTGTGTTTTTGTTTGTGTTTTCGTGTTTGTGTTTTTGTGTTTGTGTTTTTGTGTTTGTGTTTTTGTGTTTGTGTTTTTGTGTTTGTGTTTTTGTGCTTGTGTTTTTGTGTTTGTGTTTTTGTGTCTGTGTTTTTGTGTTTGTGTTTTTGTGTTTGTGTTTTTGCGTTTGTGTTTTTGTGTTTGTGTTTTTGTGTTTGTGTTTGTGTTTTTTTGTGTTTTTGTGTTTGTGTTTTTGTGTTTGTGTTTGAGTTTTTGTGTTTGTGTTTTTGTGTTTTTGTGTTTTTGTGCTTTTGTGTTTTTGTGTTTTTGTGTTTGTGTTTTTGTGTTTTTGTGTTTTTGTGTGTTTGTGTTTTTGTATTTGTTTTTTGTGTTTTTGTGTGTTTTGTGTTTGTGTGTTTTTGTGTTTTTGTGTTTTGTGTTTTTGTGTTTTTGTGTTTTTGTGTTTTTGTGTTTTTGTGTTTTTGTGTTTTTGTGTTTTTGTGTTTTTGTGTTTTTGTGTTTTTGTGTTTTTGTGTTTTTGTGTTTTTGTGTTTTTGTGTTTTTTTGTTTTTGTGTTTTTGTTTTTTTGTGTTTTTGTGTTTTTGTGTTTTTGTGTTTTTGTGTTTTTGTGTTTTTGTGTTTTTGTGTTTTTGTGTTTGTGTGTTTGTGTGTTTGTGTGTTTGTGTGTTTGTGTGTTTGTGTGTTTGTGTGTTTGTGTGTTTGTGTGTTTGTGTGTTTGTGTGTTTTGTGTGTTTGTGTGTTTGTGTGTTTGTGTGTTTGTGTGTTTGTGTGTTTGTGTGTTTGTGTGTTTGTGTGTTTGTGTGTTTTTGTGTTTTGGTGTTTGTGTGTTTTTGTGTTGTTGTGTTTTTGTGTTTTTGTGTTTTTGTGTTTTTGTGCTTGTGTGTTTGTGTGTTTGTGTGTTTGTGTGTTTTTGTGTTTGTGTGTTTTTGTGTTTTTGTGTTTTTGTGTTTTTGTGTTTTTGTGTTTTTGTGTTTTTGTGTTTTTGTGTTTGTGTGTTTGTGTGTTTGTGTGTTTGTGTGTTTGTGTGTTTGTGTGTTTGTGTGTTTGTGTGTTTGTGTGTTTGTGTGTTTGTGTGTTTGTGTGTTTGTGTGTTTGTGTGTTTGTGTGTTGGTGTGTTTGTGTGTTGGTGTGTTGGTGTGTTTGTGTGTTTGTGTGTTTGTGTGTTTGTGTGTTTGTGTGTTTGTGTGTTTGTGTGTTTGTGTGTTTGTGTGTTTGTGTGTTTGTGTGTTTGTGTGTTTGTGTGTTTGTGTGTTTGTGTGTTTGTGTGTTTTTGTGTTTTTGTGTTTTTGTGTTTTTGTGTGTTTGTGTTTTTGCGTTTTTGTGTTTTTGTGCTTTTGTGTTTTTGTGTGTTTGTGTTGTGTTTTTGTGTTTTTGTGTTTTTTGTGTTTTTTGTGTTTTTGTATTTTTGTGTTTTTGTGGTTTTGTGTTTTTGTGTTTTTGTGGTTTTGTGTTTTTGTGTTTTTGTGTTTTTGTGTTTTTGTGTTTTTGTGTTTTTGTGTTTTTGTGTTTTGTGTTGTTGTGTTTTTGTGTTGTTGTGTTTTTGTGTTTTTGTGTTTTTGTGTTTTTGTGTGTTTGTGTGTTTGTGTGTTTGTGTGTTTGTGTGTTTGTGTGTTTGT